TCTTGCTCATTTTGTAATACTGCCTCTGTAATTGTTTTAATTTCATCCATAGCCATTAGTAAATGCGTGCTCACTTAAGTCTGTTCTTAATAAATTAACCACAGTCTCAACAATGGCATCTTTTGATGCAAAAGAACTAACTGAGCTTTCTTTCCTCCTAGTCTGCTATAACTAGTCATTTGAAAATTAAAACCACCACAGTCTTCTGAAATCAGATGTACACACACATTCTTCATATAAGACATCTTTTTTTTTTACCATAACAGGCACATTTGCACCCTGAAGACAGATTTTTTTTTTTTTTTTGCCTTTGCAGGATAGTTTGCTGTCAGACTGTGAGCCTTTCCCCCTCAGAGAAAGCAACATCTACCTGAATAAACCTGGATTTGAAGCATGAAATATATGCTGGAAATCAGAAATCACTCCTAGAGCAATGGGCAGATAAAGGTTTCACAAATAGAAAGCCTCCCCTCAGGGTTCTTCCAGAACATTTCCTGTTATGCTTTACTGGTTTATTTCAGCCACAGGAAATGTAGAACCTGCCCTGCTCAAAAGAAGCTGCAGACCTAAGGGAAGCAAAAAAATCCCAAAACTCTACTTCCACCTTAACTAATCTGGTAGTTCAGTTTGCTAGTTCCAAAGGGATCATTAGCAGAAAAGTTATATAAAATTAAAGAAATGCCCTATACCACACTAAGCTAATCATCTAAGCTCCTTTAATAGACAAAGAAAAGAGCTGATATTGCTGGCTTTAACTCCTCTCATTCTAAATTTCAAAGAATTTAGAGGGATCAGGCTGGTGAAGTCACTGTCTGTTCCACTGATTTCAGTGGGAATCAAAATGGTAGCTCAGACATCATTTGTTGACAGCAAGATAAGGTAAATGCCATCCAGATGTTAAATGCAGATCTGAAAACATATTTGGTTACCTAACTCCCTGCTCCCCTTAAGATTAGTATTTATGTGATTTAATAAATGTCAAGTAAATTTTGTGCCCAAGGAAAGGAACTCAAGTATGCCAATTCCTCACCTATCTCCCATATTAGACTATTCATGGCCCAATTGACTTCAATGGAAGCATTCAGCAGCGTCCACACAGATGAAACACAAGTGAAAGTCCTCACAGTGAAACACAATCTCATATTGCAAATCTAAAAGGGAACAAGTGCAGGTAACTCCTCTGTAGAGGGTCTGACTCATCAGTAGGCCATGGTTTAGTTTTACAGCAACCATCTGATGTAAGGCAGGAAACTCACCTTTCTTATTATAATCCCACACGTAAAAAGAAAGATACACACGCTTGCAAAATATTTAGACTGTACAGTTGGTATTCACATTAGTGAACCCCCAAATCCATTAAAACTATGAATGAAAGCAGCACTAAGGATGAAAGCAGCAAAACACACAAGCAACATGGTCCAAGTTTAGATGATGTGACCAGACAAGAGTAGGATGAAGCCACAAACTCTACACAAAAGAAATCCCAGAAATCCCTGACAATTGTACTTAGAAGAACATTGTTTTTTTCTGGCCCCTAAACTGGATGACTTATTTAACCTTAAGTTTTTAAACACAATACACCTGAGAATCTGTGCAGTACCATTAAATGCAGGCTGCCAAACATCCCATCACAGACTGCAAGCAGTCCTTGATGGAGCAGAGCAAAACACAGCAAAAGTTCCAAAGACAAAGTTAAAAAACTAAGTCACCATCACCATTTAACATCCTGCACTACATTTTGTTTTGGCTGTTTTGTGGTGCAATTGTCTTTATGAAAGCCAAAGAAACCTTTACTCTGTAACAACCAATCAAGCATCTGCTGAATTAGAAGCAACTTTCAATTCATCATCCTTAGGAGACTTAGACTGCATTTTAAAATTTCTTCCCCTACACATTATATTTTCTTCTGAAGTGAATTAATGTTTCCTGAAAAGACATAATAATCAAAGTAAACCTTATAACAATAAGTAACTATTGATGTGTCTTTGTTTCATTTTTAAAGTAGATGAAAATTTACTAATAAAAACACATACCATAAACCATAAGTTTAAAAATCATATATATATGTAAGACTTCTGGGAATGGTTTAAATACACATGCACATCATTATGCAATTCTGGCAGGAAATTGTTCTAAATGGAAGTTGAAACAGGTGAAGGATGTATTCAGATGATATCAGAGTCAGAAACTGATCTGTGTGTTTCACAACACTGACTAACATCAAAACTCTGAGTTACTTTCCATTAGTGATTTTCTTCCCTATCTTCAATAATTACACCAGCATATTTCAGCTAGAGCACATACCCAAAGAACTTCAGCAGTGCTTTTATTACACATTAGGACATGATTAATAATAACAACACTTTGTTCATTTTGCTTGTTTCTACTCTAGGCTGTTTCCAATCCAGAATGAGAATCATTGTTTGTGTTTGGGGAGTGCAAAGCAAGTGCTCCAGTAGCTACAGCAAAGTGAGATTCAAAAGTGATTCACATCTGACAGTGCATTTTGCCACTGAAAACTCTGACAGCTGAAGTGGAAGAAATATGCATAAAGAGGCTTAAAACAAATCTGCAGTCCTTCTGGATTACTAAGTGCTTCTACAGCATGCAACGGCTTTGTTGTATACACCCAAGTGCTAATAATATCTGTTCAAAAGGAACACTGTGCCTTTGACAGAAATTAAATAATCTGCAAAACTCCATGTTGTCAATGATATTCAGGGAAGAAAAGGATAGTGAGAGGAAATGGCAACTGCAAATCCCTGAATCTCTTGTTGCATCAGTTGTGCCAGGAACATTCAATGCCTCCACAAATTGAAGAGCAGGGTCCCCAAAACCTTTGTCTCACAGCCAGCACAGAAGAGCCAAGAGACCTGATATGGCTGAGCCACCCTTCACATGAGCTTTGAAAAGTTGACACATAAAAATGCATTTTATGATGGAAAAAATCCAAGCATGACCATAGTTGGGCTACATTCTACTATTGCCTTTGAGTGGCTTGTTTCATTTCCCTTCTGTATGATTAAATTCTAATTAACAAAAACACATCACATGGAAATTTTTGTGATTATGCTTACATGCACATACATGTAAGCATAATCACAAAGGTTTTAACACGAACATGTTGCAAGTTCCTACTTATCTGGAACAAAAGCTCAATTCATCTTTGGTCATGGAAAATGGTCTAGGCTCAGGGCAACTTTGCAGAAAATTCTTGGATCATGTGGTGATTAAAATCCTTTACAGAACTCCATTTTTTCTTCCACTATGGATTTCTCCAATCTCTTATATCTCTTATATAATATCTTATATCTCTTATATCTCTTATATATTTGCCAGCAGTGCTGGAACTTCTGCTTTTCAATGTGGCCAGAATTTGACTAGACACTACTAAAGTACCTAGACCATACCAGCACTGCTGAAATTTTAAAATTACAGTATTTGTCAAAACCATTTTTTATTTAATTTTTCAATTTTCTCCTCTCCAATATAGGTTTCTTCTTGTTTGCTCTTTCAGTTGATGTTTTCCCATCTTTCTACATTTTAGCACTGTTGGAAAAAATGTTTTTAAATTTTTAAAATATAAATATTTCTAAATTTTTGATTTTCATTCTTTATGAAAGAGTTTTAAGTATGAAAATTTGAGCCCGTTCATATTTTTGACAATTGAAAGATCTCAACACTATTTTTTTATGCCTCTCTTCTACCGTGCCATCCACTGATACCCACTTCATTCAGATTCAGGGCTGAGTGTTTCCCCTCAGTCTAGTATTAAGAGATTTTTCAATTGTTTAGATAAATAAGCACCAATAAGATGGATGAGAAATGCAACAGAGGAGGTGCTATCATAAAATCTCACATTCATGGCAGGCAATGCTCCTACACATTAAACCAAAGCCCTCTTTCCAAGTGTACATGTTTTTTTTAAGAGTGCACATTTTTGAGAAGCATTCTGTACTACAAGAACATATACTAAAGGCTGGTTACTGATCCCTGGTCTCCATGTTGAGCAACATAAAATAAAACATCCTTACTTGTTGGGTTTAGTCAGACTATTGATGTGGATGAAAACTACTATTGATTTCCACATGAACTAGACCTGAAGCTTCTAGTAGAATACTCCTCACAGAAGCCTTGCACTGGGAGGAAGAAGAAACCAGGATCCTTCAGATTAATCATGACAATAAACCTCCACAGACACTAGCTGAAATTACACTAACCTGAAAAGTACATGGCCAATGTCTCTCTGGAGTCAGGCATCTTTTACATCATTATGCACTTTATGACTTTATAAAGGAAATCGAAGAGTGCACTGGAAAAGGGAGGTTCAGACATTACACAATTAAGTAATACACGTACCTGATCAAGAAATCCATTTCAGGAACATCCTTTGTTAATCTGGCATATTCTACATGTGGAAACATGCCATGGTACATCTGCACAGCCTGTGGTGCAAGCTTCCCTGGCCAGGTGTCATCTCCTGCCCTGTTCAGGAGAGTCCCTGCCCCATGGCAGCAAGCACAGAGAGATTGTGTTTTTGGGGTGCTGAGCCAGACAAGCAGCAGTCTATCTCGGAGGGAATGTGCCTTCTCATGGCACAGGAGTATCACCCTTCACATACAGGTTCTGGCTTGAAGTTTTATTTGGGACTTCAGCGTTAGCTCCAGGGGCTGCAAAGGTTGACTCAAACATGTGAGTCACTCAGCTACTTTCTAGTGCTACTTTCCTATTGCATCTTTTGCAATATTGTGAGGCAGATGAGATGTACTCAAATCTTATATATCCAGAACAGTATGGACCCTTTTTCTTCTTTCAAAACTGGGCCAATAGGGAGCATGTGAATAAGCCAGTTACACTGAAGTCTCATCTTCACAATGATGAACATAGACAGTAAAACTAGAAAGGAAAATTAGCTAGAGCCATAAGAAATATGATCAGACCTGTGCCCTGAGCATAAATCCAGAACTGCAGTCTTCAGTATTAGAGTTATATTAACTGACCTGTGAGTTTTTCCAGAACATCAAATCCATGCTTCAGAGCAATGATATCAAGAAAAGAGACTGTACCATCTTCAAACCTAAAGAATGGAATAAATGAGCACAGTAAATACATCATGCAGGTATGGTATCGATTTTAAATCTATTTTAAGAGTTACTATTTTTATATTCAGTGAATCTAACTTGTGGAGTGGGAACTCTTCCCTTAGGGATTCATCTTCCAGTCTTGTAGTGCCCTGTGGCAGAATAATATTGTTCTTCAAAGCAATAGAGGTTCACATAAACAGTTGCTTGCACATAGAAAGACATCATTTTCTCCTACAGAGTAACTATGTACTAACCTACATTAAAGTAATGGTTAACAGTTATGTGTCATGAGCTAATGTCACAACCCTAAGTTACCTTCTGAGAACTTAGGGAATAGGTGAGAAGACAAGTGGAGACTTGTGTCCATCCCCCATCCCCCAATGTAATTACACAGTTGAGTTAGAAGGCTCCAGGAATCTGGTGCAAAGAGGAATCAGACAAAGAGATCACTAACAAATCTCCCTTTGTGTGATTCTCCTGGAAATTAATTTTTGACTGACCTGCAACAAGAGCATTATACAAGGATGGGGGGAGGGGTGCATCCCCTACCATCATCTTTTAAAGGAAACACCAAACAGAAGCAAAACCACTGGACTTTATTAACTACTTCAGCCATTCCCACCATCCAAGAGAAGAAAGTGAAGCTCCAAGGTGAGAACGTACTCAGGAATTGATGCACAAAAGTATTCAAGGGACCAGAAGGGACACCAGGGAAGCATCAAAATGTTTCATTTAGGCTTTGTGTGCACCACAGTCCACAAAAAGTTTTAAGGAGAAATCATTCATTTTGCTTCACCACAAAGAAGAATACAGAATAATGTAACTGATGAAGTCAGAACTGTACAGAACTCAATACTTTGCAAGGCTGAACCTGAGGTCACAGCAAGTCTCTCAGGAAGGAGCTATGCCCAAAACTGTAACAGTTAAGGCTGGAGACGAACCATCCCAAATCTCATCATTCAAGTTTAAAATTAAACTTCAACCATGAGGATGAGACCTCCAGAGGGACCTGGTGTTCCTTGGATCTTTCTCGGAAAGATCAGATGATATCTAGATTGAAGAATGAGTGGACAAGGTGGAACATAAGACACACACTCTTGGGCAAAAATACTTTAAATACACGTTTTTGACCAGAAAATAGGGGATTACATTTTTCTCCTGGGTGCATAATTTTTCATAATGCATGTTAAAAGCTATTGGTGCCACAATTAAGTATGTTTTGTGAAAAGGCTCAAAGTTTAAAAATGTCATATATCAAATGCTTTTTCTTTAATAAAATAAACATCAATTGAATAACATAATAGCTCTCACTTCTATCATAACTTTTCTTACTTCCTATTTTATTTTTCTAGAGTTATCAAATATTTTCAACACTGCAAGTGACATAAGCAGGTAAAGAACATATTAACCTTCCAAAAATCTTTGGTAAAGAGCCACACAAAAGAAAAATGCAAGAGTATTGTGTATATACAATAATACGTTCAGCGGCAACAAAAGAAGATAGAGGCAGGAAATAATTATAAACCATGTGATAAGAGAAAAGTGGTGCACCACTACAAGGATGAATAATCCAAAAGAGAGCACTTATGTTCACATATTTTAACATAGCATAGGCCAAAAAATTCATCCTAGAAATGTCTGAATCTTCCCTACTAATTATTAATAATTGATATTAAACTTTTCAGAAGAAATCTTGCTGGTTGTCAGTGATGAAATGTAAAATGGCCATTTGTGATTTAAAGAGACCTAACACCAGGAATATTATCACAGAGACCTATGGACCAGTATCTGAGGGAAGCATTACTCTATCAAGATAGCCATAAAGAATGTGGGAGGATGAGGAAGATAAGGCAGAGGCTAACAGTTGTTTTGGAACTGAGCAGAGAAACCTTTTGCTCTGGTTGCAGAAAAGGTCCCACATGTCTGCCAAGGAGAGATTACAGAGAGGATCCATGAGGGAGAACTGACCTGCTCTGCTCAGTTACTCACAGTGGCCAGCAAAGCAAACAAAACACTGGGAATTAGACCAGAGCAGAGCCACTGACATTGAGCCCATCAAGGAGACTGCAAAATCCCCAACAATTTTATCACTTTCATAGTGATAAAACCATAGAAAAGCACTTGAAAGGGCAACAAAGGTGCCAGCCTAGATTATCAAAGACATCTGAGTTGTACCCATAGCAAAAGGGGAGGCAACAATTGCATTTCTGTTTATCAGTTTTGATTATTAACTAAGCAGACAACTGCAGTACATCCAATGCTACACAATAGGAGATATACACGGACCATGTGACTTCACTCTTCTAAGATCTTACATTTTTTTTATGAAAATAATTCAGAGATTTGGAGTCTTCTCTCAAATTAGAAAAAAAAAAAAAGAAAGTAAACAGAGCTGTGGGCTTTTGGTGGTCAAACCTTATGCTCCAGAACAGGCCAATTGTTGTGGCATGATATGCATCCTGCATTTAGTCTTTCTGTATCACAAAAAAAATTATCTCCTGGCAGCTCCATGGCAAGAAACAGAAGCCACAAAAGAAATTAAAATAATGCTAAACATATCTGCTCAAAGATATGAGCAAGTCATTTTTCTGCAATTTAGATATGGACTGTTTTGCAACATTCCTCTATTTTCTTTGTTCATAGGGCCCCCTCTATTCCTACATTACCAGCTTCCCTGTTCTGATTAAGCACGAATATGTTGTTATTCCTATAATATGTATATCTACACTACTTCCAGTGCACTTGACTCTCATATATCCTTCAGATTTAGTGAATACCTGATGTTCAGCCTCATGTCAAAATTTTCAGGAATACTGTATTAATTCTGATATTTAGCACATTAAGCCATAAGTGCTATAGCAGTAGTGCCATGGTAAAACATGACACTATGAAGGGCAGCTGTTCCCTTCTTGGGACACAAAGAGCTCTCCCTCAGAATATTTAACCATATTTAAGATTGAGAGGAAACGTGCTCCTTGAATTGCAAAACACTGGCTTCAGTGGCTATTTTTTTGTTTGGTGCAATTGATGCTTCAAATAAACTGTTTCCCCACTCAGTGGCAGTTGCAGTGTTAAAATAATCAGTTCAGGATGAAGTTCATTTGAATGCTGGTCTGGAAGCTACTTCCCGTAGTAATCAAGATTTTGCAGCTGATGATGTATAAAGGATACTTACAAAGGCTAATACTGTGGAATACCAACCCAAGGAACAAGAAGCTTACCTCTCTTATCTAGTTCTTATTATAATTGATCTCACTTAATCACATCTGGGATGAGCTCAGTTGCTTAGCTGATTGTGTTTGTGAAGCGCTAATAGCATTTCACATCCAATTGCTATCTGACAAACTGACTAAGCAACTCGTGGCATAACAAAGAACAGAGCAGCATGCCTAACATCTGTCCAGGAGTTATGAAGCTGATGAGCTGCTCTCCCTTTCCAAGTCACACAAAAACTCTGCTTTTGGAAGCAAAAACTTTTGAGTCACAAGAGAAAAGTATTGCTTTACAGTGAGCAGTCCTGCCTTTAGGATCTTCCTAGGGATGGAGATGGGCTAGTCTTTCTTTGAATCTTTATTCAACTGGTTATTATCACACTTCTCTGTTACACTTCTGCATATAAATGCTATTTTCTAATGTCACCATCCCACACTTCAGGGCAACCGAAACACAGAAGGAAACTGTGACATCTTGGGCAGTTTCAATTCATCCTGCCCTTAGCCAGGCCACCTTTTTGCAGAAATATAATGACAAAAATTCTGGCCTGGACAAATGTGATTGGAAATAAACTGCTGAAGGGCTAAAAAAACCTCTTCATGTTTGAAAATAGAACTTAGAGGAAATTTGTTGGAAGGCAAAAATATTACCCTGGAGTTGTACAGCACTCACTTAAGACTTCAGAAATTCCCTCAAGACCAATCAACCAATGCTGAGGTGGTGAAATATGTTTCAAAATATAAGCTATTCTGCATATAAAAAGTATACAAGGGCAGGCTTTTAGGTGCTTTGGGTAGAAGCATCTGCTTCCGGATTGGGAATGCTGACTTGTTTAGCAGGCAGATGAGTGATTGAGTTGTTTGAGGGTTTTTTTTTTTTTGGTTTTGGGATTTTTAAAATTTATTTATGCAGATTAAGTAAATTCAGATATAGAGACATTCCATCTGTGCATAGAATCACAGAGTCATAGAATACCATGCTAGAGGAAACCTCAAGAATCATCTGGTACACTTTTCTTTGCAAAAGCATGGTCTAGAAAAGATGGCATATTTTATGCAGCTAAATCTTAAAAGTGTGCAATGTTGGAGAATCCACCACTTCCCTGAGAAGATTATTCCAATGGCTGATTGTTTTCATTGGGAATGTCCAGTCAGAATCTCCTCAGGAGTAACTTGTACCCATTACTCCTTATACTTCCCATGTGATTCCTTGAATAAAAGGGAGTTTCCATCTTCTTTGTAGCCACCTTTTAAATACTGGAATATGGTGATAATGTTTCCCTTCTAAAATCTAAACCATTTGTCTTACTAGTCACCTTCAGCATGCTCAGCAAGATCCCAAACTCCCCAATATTGTGATCACAAAACCATTGCTAACTGAGATATAAATGAAAGTAGTTTTTCTTGGTTTTTGTGGAGCAAATCCAGCAGTGCCTCTTTCCCCACAGGCACAGCTAATATACGTATAAAGAGGTGGTTCTCCACACATTTCAAAAACTTGATAAATTATATGTTAGCTATTGTTCTTCCAATAAATGTTTAGGCTGTTGAAGTCATCCATAAGAACGGGGTTCTTGGTGATTTGAAGCTTGTTTAGGCAACCCAAATATTGCTTTGTTGGCCTTACTCCCTTGGTTTGGAGGTCAACAGCAGACACCTCCTGTGAGATCCTCCTCAGAGATGACTCCTGTGATCTTAAGCCAGAGGCATTAGATAAGGCATCCATAATCACTGTACTTGACTTCTGTCCATTCAAGGGTCTCTTTAACTTGGAGTGTGAC